GGGGGGGGAAGGTGGGGGGGGGGAGGGTGGGGGAAGGGGGGGTGGGGGGAGGGGGGGGGGGGGTGGGGGTGGGGGGCCGTTCTGTAATTTAAGGAATGTCTGGGCCGTCTACTATCGGCCAGACTGTGGGGCGCGCAAGGATGTTGGGATAGCGTGGGTTTAGGGTAGGTCAAGGAGCACGGATTGCATTTTTTCGTTGCTTAGGATCTTACGGAAGCATGTGTGGCTTTGTTGGGCTTAGAAGGATCTAGTTTAGGAATCATGAAATTATCACAGAGTTCAGGAGAACAAAACAGCCTAGAAGGTCAAGTCAGATTCGTTGGTGTCGCGGGCCTCTAGTGACAATTTAAGTTTTGTGGGGCTCCCAAGCCCACACCAAGAACACTCGAACCCCTAATCCTAAACCCTAAAGCCTAAACCCTAAACCCTGAACCCTGAACCCTGAACCCTAAACCCTAAACCTAAGATGACCCAGCACTTGTGCACGTCTCTTATGCAGGGCTCCTACAGCTGCCTGGAGGGAACCACTAAGCTCCATTTAATCCCTAAACCCTAAACCCTAAAACCTAAACCCTAAACCCTAAACCCTAAACCCCGCAGAGACATAGGTTCTCCTGGGCATCATCATCTCGCTGATCGTGAATTGCACGCTGGCCTGCCCAGGGTCCTGAATTGTGGGTTTGGGGTTTATATGGAATTTCGGGTTTGGGTTTAGGGTTTAGGGTTTAGGGTTTAGGGTTTAGGGTTTAGGGTTTAGGGTTTAGGGTTTAGGGTTTAGGGTTTCGGGTTTAGGGTTTAGGGTTTAGGGTTTAGGGTTTAGGGTTTAGGGTTTAGGGTTCAGGGTTTAGGGTTTAGGGTTTAGGGTTTAGGGGTGGTCCTGGTTTAGAATTTGGGAGTCAGGCTTCAAGGCAGGGTGTTCCCCTGCTGCGGATGCTTGAAACCAATCTTTCGCCAATCTGCGCGGAGTGAAGTGGAATGGGGACGATGCGGCGTTGCTGTGTGCAGAAGTCCAAACCCCACAGCCCAAGCCCAAAACCCTTAACCCTAAACCCTGAACCCTAAAGCCTAAACCCTGAACCCTGAAACCCTAAACCCTATAGGTATAAATCTTGACCGGCTCCCGCAAAAGGTCTCAGGGCCTGCAAGGCTTATGAAGCGTCTTATGGGCCTTGCAAGGTGCCCGTACCGATTGGGCCAATATGCCTTGCAAAGTTCCCTAAGGAGAGGGCTCTCTGGTTTAGGGTTTAGGGTTTAGGGTTTAGAACCCTAAGCACCAAGCACGAAAACACCCGCAACACCCAAGCGCCCTGGGCGCGCAGCAGGTTGAGATCAGCATCAGCAGCTTCTTCTCGCTGTATTTCGGCTTCCTCTTTATCGTGGTGCGCTGCCCATGCCAACACGTGCAACAGCACACACGCGACGAGCTTGCTGCTTTCGTGGTTGGGGCTTGTTGGAGTGTTGGATTTAGGCTGGTTGTTCTAAAACCCTAAACCCTAATCCCTAAACCCCTTAAAGCCATCTAGCCCAAGACCATCCGCCACACCCCACAGTTCGAGGGCATGACTCTGAGGGTTTAGGGTTTAGGGTTTAGGGTTTAGGGTTTAGGGTTTAGTTTAGGGTTTAGGGTTTAGGGTTTAGGGTTTAGGGTTTAGGGTTCTGGATTCTTCAGGGGGCGCGCAAGACAAAGACAACAGGGTGCGTTATTTGGCCCTGGTGTCTCCCAGAGTCAACTCTACAAATGGTGTTGCCAAGTGTTTTTCGGTATAAGTACTAAAGCCAAAGCCCTAAGCCATAAAGCCTAAACCCCCATTCTGGTTGGGTTTACGGCGTCACCGTTTCTCTGGTGGGGCTTCTGGCGTGCCAGCAACTGGGCCTGGGTTTAGTCGAAGGGAGTATGGGCCCTTGAGGTTTATAGCGTCTATGAGGGTATACCAGGGGTCCCCATTTAAGGGGCCACATTAAATCATGGGTTTCCCTACTACCCCTCGATACTACCCCCCTTAAAGAACCTTAATTAGGCTGAATTATCTTTAAATAGCCTGAACTATGGGGGGACCTCGGGGGGGGGGGGGGGGGGGGGGGGGGTAGAGAGAGGGGCAGTAGGGGAACGTCTTTGCGTTTGGGGTTTAGGGTTTACGGTGTAGGGTTTGGGGTTTAGGGTTTAGGGGTCAAAGAAGGGCTGGCAGGTTCAAGCCTTACGTATGCCTTTCCTGTCAAGATGTGACCTATGACCTTGGCTTGAGCGTCAAGAAGCCATGCCTCTTCAAATCTCAATATCTCCAACGCGCAGGATGGTTAGCAGTCCCAGCGGCATTGACAAAAAAGCAGCAGCAGCAGCAGTAGTTGTTGTTGTAGCAGTTCTTGTCTATTTCATTGGGTTTAACATCCACTTCAGCGAAGACGATCACCACAGCACTCTCGCCAGGTGGGTGGAATCATCATATGGAGAATCTTCAGTCAAGATGTCCCTTACCACAAAGAGTCGAGCCCTCACGCGCCCTTGTGCTGTGCAATCGGTTGTGCGGATTCTGAGTCGGGTGTTTGTGTTGCTTCGTTTCCAACGCAACTTCTGGGGACAAGGCAGGCACTTTATTCTCACGACACACGCGGGCTCTTAGAGGAGTTACCGACCGCAGGGTTTTGAGGTTCTGAGGTCCGGCTTCCGACCGCTTGAAGCCTTACCGCCTGGACCGCCAAGTATGTAAAAGACAGCCAGAAAAACCCATAGAAAGGGGCCATGACCTTGGAGGTTTTGGTAAGCCTTGAGCCCCCCAAGCCTGAATGCTGTCAACTGACCAGTGCTGTTGCGCTGCCCTAAACTCGAGGGGGTTCCGACATCCAGCCGTGGTCAACAGTACCAAGCTGCTTATTCTAGCAGTTGCTTTGAGTTTGGTTGGTCGTTGTGGGTGTTTGGCACAACGCCGAGTGATGTTTATGGTTTTAGACTGCATGCTATTTCTTTCTCTCTTTTTTTGGAACCCTTGAAACCCAGGACGGTGGGCAAGAGGCAGATGCTTGTGGTCTTCGGGCTTTTGATCATCCTGTCCGGATGCATCTGCCCTTGCCCTGGTAGGGATGTGAGTTGTAGGGCTTGAGGATGCTATTCAGGGGGGGTCCGTGGAGCAACCCTACACCCTGAACCCTAAACCCTGAACCCTAAACCCTAAACCCTAAACCCCAAACCCTAAACCCTAAACCCTAAACCGGGGCGGAGCGGCTCTGCAGGGCATTCAGGTGCAATCAAAAAAGCACTAAAGGGTGTTACGAGCCTTGAGCCCGCAGCTCGGCGGACATCCCACTTGCAACTGCAGGGTTTAGGGTTTAGGGTTTAGGGTTTAGGGTTTAGGGGTAGGCGCTGTCCATAAGAGATGTGCTTGGCTAGGCCGCGTTCGACCCGTACTTGTCCCATCCCAGAAAGCTTTGCTGTTTCGGTCATTCCACGTTTCCCTGAAGCCAGAAGCCTCCAAAGGACACTAAATGATATGAGCCCATGGCTGGCCTTGTATAGAGCAGGGGGTGCCAAAATTAGGAGGCCTGATTTTTTTGTCAATGCCCCTATGCATTTAGGAATGGTCCTGAGAAGCGTAAGCCGCAAGTAGGGATGTACGATCATTCACGTGACACCCCTAAGCCCTAAGCCCTGAACCCTAAACCCTAGACCCTAATCCTGTGACGCGAAGTAATTTTGATTCCCTAGGCCTACGCCCTAAATTCAGGCCCAAATTTCTGAATCTCCCTATGAAGCCCAACATTAGCCCGAATGGAGGTCCTAGAGAGGTTCCCCGTCTGCTTCGTGAACCCTGAACGCCCAAAGGTGTTCCCAAAGTTATGATGCTCCAAGACCTAAGAACGTTCAGTCCCCTAAACTGTGGTCCCTGTGGCAAAAATGTGGCATATACCTAGCGAACCTAAAACAAAGGAGTCCTAGCGCCTCAGCCCTATACCCCCAACCCCACGGAAAACCCAGTTGATGGCTAAGGCTTCACCTTAGAGCAGCATTGGCCCTGGGCTCAGCACATGTGAGATTTAGGGTTTAGGGTTTAGGGTTTAGGGTTTAGGGTTTAGGGTTTAGGGTTTAGGGTTTAGGGTTTAGGGTTTAGGGTTTGCATCATGCGCCTGTAGCTTCCTGAGTTAGTTTGAGTTTGGTGTGCAGGGGTAGGTCCTGAACTGCGGATACCCCGTATGGTCCCCCACCTACTCGAATCCTTATCATAAGAGCCCCTAGATAGGCATCTATTCTTATCGGTTATGGTTAGTAGGCTCCCTTGGACTCTGCTTCCTCGCGCCTTTCAGCTCCTCCAGATATGCTTTCAGGGAACAGCGGAGTTATTGCTGCTACCAGTATATGTGGTCACTTCTCTAGAATATGGTCCGTTTGTATTTAGGGTACCTAAAAAGAGCCCATAGTTTAGAGAACTGACCATCTAGTTGTTCTCGAGTCTGCCGGTTTCGGGCCCACTCAATGGCTCTGCACCTCACTTGCATGAGGCATGCAAGTATCATGGGTATCCCTACTACCCCCCTTTATACTACCCACCCTCGGTTCCCTGCTTGAATATTAGGCTTAACTATCCCGAACAAGCCTTAACTATGCAAGGAACCTAGGGAACGTAGTATAGAGAGGGATAGTTGTGGAACCCATGAAAGTACCACGTTTGCAAGGGAGACACGCCCGTGCATTCCTTCGCCTGGAGCAAAAAAACGGCGACTCCGAGGTCTTTTGCACAATACGCCAGAAGGAGATAGGTCCAGGAGATGGACGCCCGATACATGTGGAACGTACTGCCCTTTTCCCTTCTTGTGGTTCAAGGCTCCCTTAAAAGTGAGCAACCCAAAAAAGGGTGCCCGTGTTATGATGTGGTTACTGGGCTACCGAGGCCACTGGAAAGATCGGTGGCGTGCAAGGGTTTAGGGTTCAGGGTTCAGGGTTCAGGGTTTAGGGTTTAGGGTTTAGGGTTTAGGGTTTAGGGTAGTTCTAGAATGGCAGACCAGCGCTGCCGATGGCACATGTGCACAATGACCGGGTGCTCTTCACAATTGGTAACAATGGGTATCGCCCTTGTAAAGAGGATTGTCCATGGAAGGCATTGAAAGGAGCTGTCAACGACTCACACTCCATCCGCAATCACGCTCGGTCTGCTGGCTGGCTGGTGATTCCAGCCCAAAACGTATCCAACTGTGATCTGATGCGCCATCTTGCTGAGCAAGCCAGCTATGAGATTACCAGAACCACGTCTGTCGTCTGCTTCCACTACAGTGGCCACTGTGAAGACAAAGACGGAGCAACTTATTTGATCCCTTGCGATCCACAACCACAGGCGCGAACTTGGAGATACTGCAGAAGCAAGTTGATCTGATCCAGGGTAACTTGGAGGAGCAGCAGGGGAAGTTGCAGCAATGCCAGGACAAAAATAAGCAGCTACAAGTTGCAGCTCGGCGCACGGAGGGTCCAGTCCGCCCCGGGGAACCCTCCTTGTGATTCACCTAAAGACCCCCCCCGTACCATTAATGAAGAAGCAATAGGTAATCTTTAGATAAGGGCATCCCCAAACTCCTCAACTCCCACACTAGGGCTGCCGGGACAGATCGCATCAAGCCGAAAAAGAGTGCGCAAAATGTATGGGGCCGCTCAGTACGGTGGAACTTTTCGTGGCCGATTTGTTTTGTTCATGTCGTGTTCGTGCTGGGAGTAACTTGTCTTTGTATGGAGGCGCTAGTCAGGCAATGGCGTAGCTTGGGTGTGAACCTCGTGTTGAACATGAGTCTATGGCAATGCCCACTGAACTCGTTACCTGTTGAAGTTCCACGTGGGTGGTTTTTGAGAACGGCAGTTCATACCCCGTGTCAAGCATTGTTGGCTAGTAATGTTAAACGCGAAACCCCAAACCCTAAAATGATTTCCATCTCGTCTCAATGCCCAACCCTAAACCCAACATCATTGAGTCTTGAAGCCTTAAGCTAATTAAGCGTTTATGGCTTCAGTGGTTCAGGATCTTAGGGCGCTAGGTTTTGGGGTTTTAGGGTCTTGGGGTCTTAGCATTCTGCGATCCAAGGCTTTCAGGGGTTCAGGGTGTTGGGCTTTTGGGTCTCGGGCTACGATTTGCTTAAGAACCCCCGAAAAGTTGCAATATTCTTCCCTATAAGGGTATGGGTTTGAGGCTCTTAGGCTTTAGACGTTCGAGGGTTCAGGGTTTGATGGATTTGGGGACTTCGGGTTTAGGGTTTAGGCTTAGGGTTTAGGGTTTAGGGTTTAGGGTTTAGGGTTTAGGGTTTAGGGTTTAGGGGGTAACTTGTTGTTTGAGTATGTCGGTGCAATCAACGCAGCATGCACACCCAGGGGCCCTTGCAGCCTTCAACCCCGCCCTCACCGCAAGCTGAAAAGCCGAGAGACACGTTGCAGCTCAACCCTAAACAGCCCTTGTTAACCCTAAACCCTAAACCCTAAACCCTACATCCTAAACCCTAAACCCTAAACCCTACACCCGTTAGCTTCGGGACCCAGAGTAGGCCCTTGTGTTCCTTGTTTTTGGGTTTTGGGCTCCCTGATATGCTCCTTTAAGCCAAAAAAGGGTGCCCTTTTTATTTCCCAGGTTGCTTTTTGGTCTAGACAACCCTAGATACCTTATAGGGTCCTTAAGCGAGGGGTTCATTTGCGGTAGGTAGCCTTAGGGAAGCTTAGGGAGCCTCAGGTGGTCGTGGGAAGTATTAGGGAACCTTGGGTGGAGTATTACGGAACCTTGGGCTACATACCCTTCCTGAAGCCCCCGGCCTTACCCTATTAACCCGAGTTGGCCGTTCCGTAGTTGCCCTAATTACCCCAATTACCCCTCACTCAATTACCCCAAATTACCCGCAACTACCCTTATCCCCGAAGCCCAAAGGTACAAGGGCATGTCCGCCATGACCAAGGCGGTTGTTTGTCCGACCTCCGACCCGGCTGCCGGTTTTTTAAGGGGCTTAGAGTCTAGGTGGGGTAATTATAGGGTGATTATAGTGTAATGATAGGGGAAAAAGGGCTTCAGGGTTCAAAGATACAGGCTTCTAGGGGTTGAGGATCTAGAGCTCTACGCTTTAGGATGTTTGGGTTCAAACGAATCGACCTCTTTTAATTCGGGGGGGGGGGGGGTAGCGTGGAGTTTCAACAACTCTGGGGCTTCTCTATCTTCCAAACCCCCCCAACCCCATCCTTCCTTGTATGGCAAACAAAGGATTATCTTTCTTGTGGGAGGGCTGCTTATTAAGCAAGCAAAGCCCTACACCCTGAGCCTTCCAACAAACTACTTAGAATTACTTCCAGCATTCTTGGGCTTGGGATGTGGAATGCGTCGTTTAGGGAACACCGTTGTTCAGGTTTGGGGTCTTAGGTGCAGGGAAGCCCTTGGAGCCTTAATCCTAAAATGAAAGCCTTCCGGACGGAAGGGTTTAGGGCTTAGGGCTTAGGGCTTAGGGTTTAGGGGGAACCCACTCTTAAACCGTTACCCGCAGACCCTAAACCCTGAAACGCCGGGGTTTGACGTGCGCCTCACTTGCTGAAGCGTGGCAACATGCCATCCCATGCCGGTTTTCTCAAGCAAGCACGGAAATCCGCTATCCCTGGGAACAGGTGCAAGGAACGTCCAAACCCCTAAACCTTAAACCCTAAACCCCAAACCCACAATCTAAACCCCAAACCCTGAACCCACAACCTCCATTTATCTTAAGCCCCAAACTGTTTGGACCTTTCGAGTGTACCCCTAACGGCCCCTAACCTTAAACTCCAAACCCCTAAACTCTGTACAGCCCTGCACCCTAAACACTCAAGCCCCCAACTTTTAAAACCTAGACCCGAAACTCTAAACCCTAAACCCCCAAACTTGTTTAAACCTAGACCCTAAACCCTGAACCCTAAACCCTAAACCCTAAACCCCCAAGCGTTTTCAACCTAAACCCGAAACTCTAAACCCTAAACCCCAAACATTTTAAACCTAAACTCGAAACCCTAAAACTCTAAACCCAAATTGTTTAGCCCTAAACTCGAAACCCTAAAACCCTAAACCCAAACGTTTTAAACCTAAACCCGAAGCTGTAAACCCTAAACCCCCAAAGTTTTTAAAACCTAACCCTAAACCCCAAACCCCAAACCCTAAACCCTAAACCCCCAAACGTTTGAAACCTAAACCCGAAACCCTACACCGTGTCGGGGTCATTGCCTCCCAGCGTCAGGTGCCACTGTACACCGTGCTTGGCACATCGGTGGCCTTTGCCGCGCTCCTGAGAACGTCGCAGGGTAGGACCTCTTGTACTTGTAGTTTAGGGTTGAGGGTTGAGGGTTTAGGGTTTAGGGTTTAGGGTTTAGGGTTTAGGGTTTAGGGTTTAGTTTAGGATTTAGGGCTTAGGGATTTGGGCTTGGGGCTTAGGGTTTAGGTATAGTAGTATAAGAGCCCGATATTGGGTTCTAGGTATCCTAGCTTAGGTGATAAGTCCCCTAACTTTTGCAGGGGGGGGGGGGGGGGGGGGGGCTCCTTGTAGATTTAGGGCGTGCCCAAACCCTGAAGGCCCTAAAACCCTATGTAGGTCTGTAGTTCAAGGCTGTCGTTTGGGAGGTCTTCATGCACGCCAGTTTGAGAGCTGCGCTGCCGTCTTGCGGGCAAGGCCGGTCAGGAGAAACCGGTTTAGGGTTTATAGGGTTCCGGGTGTAGGAGAAACCAGAGACGAAGATGAAGGTCTTATGGTGCAGCAGTTCATAGCCGTTGCATCCAGATCTCTGAAGACCTGAACATGATGCTTGAGAAGCACGGCTTTGATACAGGCCTCGTTTTCGTCCGCCCTACCCAGCGTCTGCTGAAGTGCGGTTCCGGCAAAGCAGACTTCACACCACTGGCCGGGTGTGGGGCTTGCGCTGCTTGGTTTTCGGCGAGCACCAACGGCTGAGAACCGGAGCCGCCGCCGCCACCACCCACGCCCCCTTAGGCCAACCTGCTTCGTGCTTGGCAGATGACGGTGAGGCGATGCGCTAAGGCGCTCACCGGGGGGGCTGCGGGGCAGCGTGAGGGGGTCCGATTCCAGCCGCTCGGGTTGCAGGACACTCCAATGGGGAGGCCCCCTGTCTCCCAAACGTGTGAATCCATGCCTTTAGCGAGTTTGTGGTCCGCACATGTTTCAGTGCTCTGCCCCGCCCCCCACCCACGCTTTAGCCCGGTGCGCACACCCGGCAGAGAGGCTCGCGAAAGAGGACAAGAGAGCGGCACCTACCTCAGATCATCTAGATTGCCAAAGGGCGGTTTAGGGTTAGGGTTAGGGTCTGGAGAAACCAGAGATAAAGGTCTTGGCTCGGCATTTCATAGCCATTGGATCCAAATCCCCCAAAACCTGAACATGACCCTTGAGAAACAGGGCTTTGATAAACTCCCCTTTTCTTCCGCTATACTAGGAGTCTGCTGAAGTGCGGCTACGGCAAAGCAGACTTCACACCACTGGCCGGGGGTGTGGGGCTTGCGCTACCGGGTTTTATCGTGTGCGTCCATTGCCTTTAATGAGTTTGTGGTGCACATGTTTCAATGCAGCGCTACAGCCCCCGCCCCCGGGGGCTTGGTGGTTTAACACTAACCCTAAACCCTCAACCCTATTTAGGTCTGTAGTTCAAGGCTGTCGTTTGGGAGGTCTTCATGCACGCCAGTTTGAGAGCTGCACCGCGGTCATGCGGGCAAGGCCGGTCAGGAGAAACCGACTTAAAAGGTTGCGGGTGTAGGAGAAACCAGAGATGAAGATGAAGGTCTTATGGTGCGGCAGTTCATGGCCGTTGCATCCAGATCTCTAAAAGCCTGCACCTGATGCTCGAGAAGCACAGCTTTGATACAGGCCTTGTTTTCGTCCGCCCTACCCAGAGTCTGCTGAAGTGCGGCTACGGCAAAGCAGACTTCACACCACTGGCCGGGTGTGGGGCTTGCGCTGCTTGGTTTTCGGCAAGCCTGCCACCACCCACACCACTCACCCACACCCCCTTAGGCCAACTTGCTTCGTGCTTGGCAAATGATGGTGAGGCGATGCGCTAAGGCGCTCACCGGGGGGGCTGCGGGGCAGCGTGGGGGGTCCGGTTCCAGCCGCTCGTGCTGCAGGACACTCCAATACGATGGGGAGGCCCTCTGTCTCCCAGAGTTGCACAAACATGGGCATCCATGCCTTTAAGGAGTTTGTGGTGCACTTTTTCAATGCAGCCCCCACCCCGCACCCCCACCCACCCTTTAGCCCGGTGCGCACACTCGGCAGAGAGGGCGCGCGAAAGAGGACAAGAGAGTGGCACCATACATAAGATCCTTAAGCCCCCAACCCTAAGCCTTGCTTCGGTTTAGGGTTTAGGGCCTAGGGCTTAGGGTTTAGG